CGTGCTACCACGCCCAGCTGATTTTTGATTTATTGTAGAGATGAGGTCTCGCCAAGTTGCCCAGGCGAGTCTCAAACCTGCAGGCTCAGGCATTCTACTCACCTCAGCCTCCCAAAGGCGCGGGATTACAGGCTGAGCCACCGAGCCTGGCTGGAGTGAATGTTTACATGTTACAACTTTATTTTTAATTTTTTGAGTTGGAGTCTCACCCTGTCACCCAGACTGGAGTGCAGTGGCCGCTCCCGGCCACCGCAGCCTCGACCTGCTGGGCTCCGGCGATCCTTCGGCCTCAGCCTTCCAAGTAGCTGGAACTACAGGTACGTGCTACCACGCCCGGCTGATTCTTTTGATTTATTGTAGAGGCGAGGTCTCGCCAAGTTGCCCAGGCGGGTCTCGAACCCGCGGGCTCAGGCAATCCACTCACCTCGGCCTCCCAAAACGCCGGGATTACAGGCTGAACCACTGAGCCCGGCCAATTTTTTTTTTTGGAGATTTCTTCAGTGCGTTTGCTCATTTCATAATGGGTGATTTACAAGAACAACCTGCCCACACCGCGCTGAGTGTTCAGCAGTTTTTGACCAAAAATGGCATGATCCCCGTGTCCCACCCTCCCTGTTCACCCCATCTTGCCCCTAGCGACTTTTTATGTGTTTTCCCTGAAGAAAAAAGTCCTCCAAGGGAAACGTTTTGCCAACGTGGAAGAAGTGAAACAGAAAATGTCAGAAGCACTGAAAGCCATCAAAATGGATGAGTTCAAAAACTGTTCTGAACAGTGGAAAAAGCATCTCGATGGGTGTATTGTATCCAGTGGGGAGAACTTTGAAGGTGATCGAAGTTTAAACATGTAGAATAAATACACAGTTTTTCAATAAATCTGGGTTCTTTACGTTCCCCCTTCGTGCCTTGCTTCTTTCACCATATGACTCTTATTTTTCAGGCTAGGACGACGGTTGGTCTTGTGGCTCACGAGCAGTGGCATGTTTTTGTTTGGAATGGCAGTGGCGTTTACAATTAATTATTACAGCTTCATGGCCGCACGCTTTTTTCTTGCCATGGTGAGTTTTTTTTTAACTTCTTTAATTCTGCTGCAGTATTTCCATATGAAACCTTCACTCTGTTAGTTTTGCTCATTTAGGATCTAGTGCCAGAATTCAAGGACCAATCTGTGTTCTCTCCTCTGTGGAAGTCTTTCTGTGAGCCGGGCTCGGTGGCTCAGCCTGTAATCCTGCGCCTTTGGGAGGCTGAGGTGAGTGGATTGCCTGAGCCCGCGG